GTCCACCTGCTTCTTGTGGGTTTCCGTGGCTTCTCTGTGTAGCCTGGCCTGGGGGTGGTGAGAGTGGTCCAGCCTTTCTGGGATCTCTTTGAAGCCAGGATCCACCTTGATGCCTTTTAATGAGCCTCCCTCCCTCTCTCTTCCTCCGGCTCGGATGACGGGCGGGCGCAAAGGGAGAGGAAGCCGTGGCGGGGGGGGGGGGGCTCTTTTCATGTCTATTTTTTCCTCACAAGGATGTCATCTTCAGAGGGTTCTGCCTTGATGGCTGGGACAGGTGAAGGCGCGTTCCCCCTTCCCTCCCTCCCTCCCTCCCTCCCTCCCTCCCTCTTCACCTCCTCCTCTCTTTTGTTTTTGGGCTTTTCCTGGGGTTGCAAAGGCCGGTTTCAGCACAGGGTTGGCCACTTGAGATTCTGACCCCAAAGTCTCTCACCAGGGTCGGTGCCCTTGAGATTGTGTCTCCACAAGGTGCACAGCCTGGTTGCCCTTGCTCCTTGCATTTCCCTTCATGGCATCTCTTAGGAGTGAATGAGTCCACCTTGTTTGGAGCAGTTGAGGCGCTGAAGGTAAACAGGGAGGCTCCTCAAACGTTGTGCTTCTGAGAGCAGTTCCCACTCCCAACGTCTCCAGCCTGGCTTACAGAATTTGGAAACAGAAGCCAATACTTTGGAAAGCATGCAAATGCACAAAGCAGGCCCTTTCTTGTCTAGTTCTGCATGATTTTGAAGTCGTGGAACAGGACAAAGCCTAAGAATGAAATCTTGGGCACCAGAAATCCCATCGTTCCTAAGAATAATGGGTTTCCCCAGGTTGTGTTGTGTCTAGAAAGTAGATTCCAGCTGAACATTAAAAAGAACTTCCTGAATGTGAGAGAGAGCTGTTCAGCAGTGGAACTCTCTGCCCTGGAGGGAGTGGGGTGGAGGCTCCTTTGGAGGCTTTGAAACAGAGGCTGGATGGCCATCTGTTGAGGGTGCTTTGAAGGGGATTTTCCCGCTTCTTGGCAGAATGGGGTTGATCATGTCAAGAACGGACATTCCATCTGAACATTAGGCAGAACCTTCTGATTTTGAGAGCTGTTCAGCAGTGGGACTCTCTGCCCCTTGTGGAGTGGGGTGGAGGCTCCTTCTTTGGAGGCTTTGAAACAGAGACTGGATGGCCATTTGTCGAGGGTGCTTTGAAGGGGACTTTCCCGCTTCTTGGCAGAATGGGGTTGATCATGTCAAGAATGGAGATTCCATCTGAACATTAGGCAGAACTTTCTGACTGTGAGAGCTGTTCAGCAGTGGAACTCTCTGCTCCAGAATGTGGTGGAGGCTCCTTCTTTGGAGGCTTTGAAACAGAGGCTAGGTGGTCATCTGTTGAGAGTGCTTTGAAGGAGATTTTCCTGCTTCTTGGCCGAATGGGGTTGGACTGGAGGATGGCCCACCAGGTCTCCTCCAACTCTAGGATTCATTACGAAAGGGAGTCAAATCTTCCCCAAAGGCTTTAGATCAGTGGTTCTCAACCTGGGGTCCCCAGATGTTTTCGGCCTACAACTCCCAGAAATCCCATCCAGTTGACCAGCTGTTAGGATTTCTGGGAATTGGAGGCCAAAAACATCTGGGGACACCAGGTTGAGAACCACTGCTTTAGATAATGCATGGGCCAACTTGGGCTCTCCCTCCCTCCCTCCCTCCTTCTAGGTGAGTGCTTCTCAACCTGGGGTCCCCGGATGTTTTTGGCCTACAACTCCCTGATATCCCAGCTGTTAGGATGTCTGGGAATTGTAGGCCAAAAACATCCTGGGGACTCCAGATTGAGAAGCACTGCTTCTCAACCTGGTGTTTTGGACTGAAGGGGAAAAGGAAGGGGTCCGAGGCTGTTAGGAATGGTGGGAGTTGGAGTCCAAAACCCGTGGAGGGAGGGCCCAAGTGGGTCCTGAACCTGCCCTTGGAGCTGCAGGGCCCTCCTGTTCGCCTGCCTGCTCTGTCCTCTGTGTCCTTTGGGCACAAAGGTTGTGCATTATGGAACACCTAGACCGCTCCAGGTGAGATTGGCCTCATCTTTATGAGGGTCAGAATGCACCCGTGCAGAGGCGGGGGCAGGAGGGGGGGGCAAAGGCCACTCCAGCCTTCGTTCAAGGGAGAAGGAAGGAAGGAAGGGAGGGAGGTGTTTACCTGCTAAGAATCATGGGATCTGGCCCCCCAGGTGGGATCTCTGGAGTTGTTTTGGCCCGTGATCCTCCTCCTCAGGCAAAGCAAGAGCGGCCAGCAGCAAGTGCCCAGAGGGCGCCCCACTTCTCTCCCCCCCCCCTCTCCCCCCCCCCCCCCCCGCTGCTGCCACAAATCAGTTTTGGAGGCATCAAGCGCATGGTTTCTTCCTCTTCTGCAAAGGTCAGATGGCCAGAAGGTGTCGGAGCTCTTGCGGGCGAATGTGTGCTCACATTCAGTATTGTCTGTAGGTCATGCCTGCAGCTCAGTGTATGATTTTTGAGTCTCTTTTGAGAGAGAAAAACTGGGATGTTAATAAAATCATATTAATAAGAACAACAACAATGACAATCCTAGAATCCTAGAGTTGGAGGAGACCTCCTGGGCCATCATCCAGTCCAACCCCATTCTGCCAAGAAGCAGGAATATTGCATTCAAAGCACTCCTGACAGATGGCCATCCAGCCTCTGTTTAAAAGCCTCCAAAGAAGGAGCCTCCACCACACTCCGGGGCAGAGAGTTCCACTGCTGAACGGCTCTCACAGTCAGGAAGTTCTTCCTCATGTTCAGGTGGAATCTCCTCTCTTGTAGTTTGAAGCCATTGTTCCGCATCCTAGAATATTGCATTCAAAGCACCCCTGACAGATGGCCATCCAGCCTCTGTTTAAAAGCTTCCAAAGAAGGAGCCTCCACCACACTCCCTCTGGGGCAGAGAGTTCCACTGCTGAACGGCTCTCACAGTCAGGAAGTTCTTCCTCATGTTCAGGTGGAATCTCCTCTCTTGTAGTTTGAAGCCATTGTTCCGCATCCTAGAATATTGCATTCAAAGCACCCCTGACAGATGGCCATCCAGCCTCTGTTTCAAAGCCTCCAAAGAAGGAGCCTCCACCACACTCCCTCTGGGGCAGAGAGTTCCACTGCTGAACGGCTCTCACAGTCAGGAAGTTCTTCCTCATGTTCAGATGGAATCTCCTTTCTTGTAGTTTGAAGCCATTGTTCCGCATCCTAGAATATTGCATTCAAAGCACCCCTGACAGATGGCCATCCAGCCTCTGTTTCAAAGCTTCCAAAGAAGGAGCCTCCACCACACTCCCTCTGGGGCAGAGAGTTCCACTGCTGAACGGCTCTCACAGTCAGGAAGTTCTTCCTCATGTTCAGATGGAATCTCCTCTCTTGTAGTTTGAAGCCATTCTTCCATTGCGTCCTAGTCTCCAAGGAAGCAGAAAACAAGCTTGCTCCCTCCTCCCTGTGGCTTCCTCTCACATATTTATACATGGCTATCGTATCTCCTCTCAGCCTTCTCTTCTTCAGGCTAAACATGCCCAGCTCCTTAAGCCGCTCCTCATAGGGCTTGTTCTGCAGACCCTTGATCATTTTAGTCGCCCTCCTCTGGACACATTCCAGCTTGTCAATATCTCTCTTGAATTGTGTTGCCCAGAATTGGACACAATATTCCAGGTAAAGTGGTCTAACCAAAGTGGAATAGAGCATGGGGAGCATGACTTCCCTAGATCTAGACACTAGGCTCCTCTTGATGCAGGACAAAATCCTGCATCAACAGCAACAATAACACACCCCAGGAGAGCCCCCCTGCAGACGGAGGAGCGGTGCGAATGGCTCCTTGCCTGCAAAACATGCTGCCCACTCCTGTTCGGTTGCTGATCAACAGTCATCCCAAGTGGCACTGAGCCACGCATTCCCTCATCCTAAAAGTGTACATTTGTTTATTGTGGCCTTGATGAAATACTTGGCCTCTGTTTCTGTTGAATTGCATTTTATTCTTTTCAGCCTACTTTCCTAGTTTATCCAGGTGCCTCCAAATTCTGCCCCAATGCGCTAACGATGATCTCTTCCAATTTTGGATCATCTGCAGATTTGATAACGATGTCCTCCATCCCATCTTCAAAGTCATGGAGGCCAACTTCCAAATGGACTCCAATTGTGGATCCAGCGGATGGGTTTCCATTGATTCCGTATGTAGTCAGTTGGCAAATCAAAACATCAGAGTATTTTGAGGAGAGGGATAATGTTTTCTGGTGTCTCCTGCCCTCTTCTCCAAGGCTTCCCAAACACAAACGGATGCTTGAATGAGGGCAAGTGGTGCAGAGAGCCAACCCGCAAGTGCTGCCAATACTCTGGGACCCAGCTCACCTGGCCACACAGATGTGAAGTCCTTTGGGTTTAGCCAGGTGGTGGTCAGCCGTGACTTGCTCCCTGCGTTCCTTGCCAGCCTCTCTTGCCAGATTCAAAAGCGAAATGGGGACGAAACCATTCCATCTTTTCGTTGCAGCCTCTTAGCATTTTGCGCTCCTTGCTGAGCGCCGCTCCCATCCTTCCCTTTGGACACATTTGAGCATCCCTCCTTCCAGGTGCTCCTTGCTCACCTGTCCCATCTCATTTCCATTGGAGCTAGCTTTGCCAGGCTTGGGTTGCCCGCCTGTTCTCTTCCTTGGCGATTCCTTCTTCCTTCCCCACCCACCTTGGTTCTTCCCACTCCCCTTGAGTTTCCTGCCAATCCACATGGGCATCTTCCTCTTCCTTGTTGGAATAGCTTGTGAGTGTGTGTTTAGCAGCGAGGCACCTGCCGGCACTCGGTCTGCTTCTCTCTGGGGACGATGTGCCGGGGACCCCTGCGCCTGTCTTGGTTCACGTGGGGAAGAGGGAGGCTGCCTGGTGTGGCTCCTTGGGGGGCATAGTGGTGCTTCCTGGTGCGGTGTGAAGGCAAATGGGGTGAGTGAGTGAGTGAGTGAGTGAGTGAGTGAGTGAGGGCTCCCCCCACCCACCCACGCACGATTTCTCCCTCTTGTTGTCTCTTCCTGTCATTGTGTGTGAGTGTGTGCATACCTGTGTTCAGCATGTATTGGGTGCCTGCCCCAGAGCAAGTGTCGTACCCCCGTCCCCCCCAGAAGAGAAGCCCCGGACAGGCAGACCTTGGCAGAGGGGCTAGTGCTGGCTGCCCTCCTCGCTGAGGAAGAGGAGGAGGAGGAGGCTGGGCTTCCCCAAGAGAGAGAGAGAGAGAGAGAGAGAGCAGCTGCGTCCCTGCTTCTCGCCCGTGGGTTCCCGCTCTGCCTTCCTGCCGCGTCCTCTTCAGAGACCTCCGAGCGAGAGGATTCCTTGAGGCCGGGATGGGGGGAGCGCCCTGCCCGCTTGCCTCCTGCAACGGACTGCATGTGGTGGGTCTGTTATGAGAGGAGGGGGCTCCGCCGTGCCCTCCTCCTCCTCCTCCTCCGGCTTGGCCTCCCATGAGCGCAGCAGCAGCAGCAACGGCGCTGTCCGGCGTTGGCATCGGCCTTGCCAGGCGCTGGGTGTCCCCCCTCAAACTTCCCCAGAAGCGGCTCTTCCGCAGCAGCCGGCAAGATGTCTCCCAGCATCAAGAAGGCGGACTGCTTCTCCCCGATGCTCTGCCACTGCAAAGTCGCCTGCAGCAACAACACCCTCTCCTTGATGTTCGGGTGCAAGGTGGGTCTGGCGGGCGGAGGGCGCCTCTGGCGGGAATTAGCCGCGTCTCCGCCGTGGGAGCCGGATTAGGCGGACAAGTGGATTAAGTTGTGCAATGACGCGCCGGGAGCCGGATGAATGAATGATCGATCGGTGGCTTCTTGGTGAGCGAGGCTGCTGGAAGAGCCCTCTCGACTTGCCCTGGGGCTGAGAACCATTGCGGCCCCCCAACTGGCACACCGTGTCGGACTTTGGGGGATTAATTGTCCTGCCGCTCCGTCCTGTGTGGATGTCTTCAAGCGTCCTGGAGATAGCTCTGCTCACTCCCTTGAATGGTGGGCCTGTTCCACGGACAGTGGTTCGGGGGTCTCTTTGCTCCTTGGCAATTGGGGCACGGAGAGTGGGGCGCTCTCCCTAGCCGTCTGTCTTATTCCCCCCCTCCCCCCGGTCTTTTCTTGCTTCAACCCAACTTCTGGAAGACTACGCATCCCCGTCCATAGCAGAGGCCCCTCTCGCCATCTTCCCTTGACCGGAGTCTCCACATATTTGCATTGGGGGGTGGTGGTCTAGGGGAGGAGGGAGACCCTCATGGAGTCTTGCCTTTCCCCTCAGGTTAATGGGGGGGGGGTTGTTGGGGTGCTTTCCCTCCTTGGCCTCCACCCTGGGGCCTTGTTCCTGCTGTGCCCCCCAAAGGGGAGGATGTTGGGATTATGCTCGTGACCCCCTCCTCCAGTCCCCTTTGGTCACTCTCCTTTGGCACATCACCCCTTGATCCTCAGTCAGTGGGGGGCTGTGTGTGTGTGTGTGTGTGTGTGCACACATGTGTGCCTGCATGGCCTCCATTCCGCCTCCTCCTCCAGCTGCTGGGCCTGTGCTCCTCATCCCAGCGCCCTCCTGCTGCCTCTGTTGTGCGTGTGTTTGTGTGTGTGTGTGTGTGTGGCCACAGTCCCTGAAGGCCAGGCCTGCCTCTTCCCCAGAGGCTTCTGCTCCCTTGAAAACAACAGTGGGGGGTGGGGGTCTTCTGTGCCCCTCCCCCTCTGGTCCACTTTGGCACTCAGCCTGGATCCCTCCCCAGGCCGGACCCTGATCTGCCTTGACGGCTCCCAGACCCCCCCCCTTTCCCTCCCCTCCCCGCCTCCGCCCCTCCTATTTCAGCCAAAACAGGGGGGGGGGGGGGGCGGAGAGAGAGAGAGAGATTGAGAGAGCGAGCGAGTGAGCGCTGAGAGTGAGCGCTGAGCCCCGGGCGGCAGAGGCACTTGCTTGCGCTCGCTCCCATCCCTGGCTTCTGCTTCTGCTTGGAACAAAGGCAAAGGCACTGCCAGGCAGGAGACCCCCACTCTCTCTTTCTGTGAGGGGGCCATAGGGGTTAGTCTGGGGTCATGACCTCCCCCCCCCCATCCTCTGGGCAGCATACCCCCTTCCCCCCAGGGAAAGGCACACCAATGCTTTCCCCAGGAACAATCCCCTGGGTTTGAGGTGGGCTCCTGTGCGTCCCTTGTGCAGCCCCTTTACTCCTCACAGTCAATGGACAATGATCGCCTTCAAGTGTGTCAAAGGAGTCGGAGGGGACACATGGAAGTCGCGGCATGAATCATAGAATCATAGAACCAAAGAGTTGGAAGAGACCTCCTGGGCCATCATCCAGTCCATCCCCATTCTGCCAAGAAGCAGGAATATTGCATTCAAAGCACCCCTGACAGATGGCCATCCAGCCTCATAGAACCAAAGAGTTGGAAGAGACCTCCTGGGCCATCATCCAGTCCAACCCCCTTCTGCCAAGAAGCAGGAATATTGCATTCAAATCACCCCTGACGGATGGCCATCCAGCCTCATAGAATCAAAGAGTTGGAAGAGACCTCATGGGCCATCCAGTCCAACCCCCCTGCCAAGAAGCAGGAATATTGCATTCAAATCACCCCTGACTGATGGCCATCCAGCCTGTTTAAAAGCTTCCAATGAGTTGGAAGAGACCTCATGGGCCATCCAGTCCAACCCCCATTCTGCCAAGAAGCAGGAATATTGCATTCAAAGCACCCCTGACAGATGGCCATCCAGCCTCATAGAATCCTAGAGTGGGGAGAGACCTCCTGGGCCATCATCCAGCCCAACCCCATTCTGCCAAGAAGCAGGAATATTGCATTCAAAGCACCCCTGACAGATGGCCATCCAGCCTCATAGAACCAAAGAGTTGGAAGAGACCTCCTGGGCCATCATCCAGTCCAACCCCCTTCTGCCAAGAAGCAGGAATATTGCATTCAAATCACCCCTGACGGATGGCCATCCAGCCTTATAGAATCAAAGAGTTGGAAGAGACCTCCTGGGCCATCATCCAGTCCAACCCCATTCTGCCAAGAAGCAGGAATATTGCATTCAAAGCACCCCTGACAGATGGCCATCCAGCCTCATAGAATCAAAGAGTTGGAAGAGACCTCATGGGCCATCATCCAGTCCAACCCCATTCTGCCAAGAAGCAGGAATATTGCATTCCAATCACCCCTGACAGATGGCCATCCAGCCTCTGCTTAAAAGCTTCCAAAGAAGGAGCCTCCACCACACTCCGGGGCAGAGAGTTCCACTGCTGAACGGCTCTCACAGTCAGGAAGTTCTTCCTCATGTTCAGATGGAATCTCCTCTCTTGTAGTTTGAAGCCATTGTTCCATTGCGTCCTAGTCTCCAAGGAAGCAGAAAACAAGCTTGCTCCCTCCTCCTCCTCCCTGTGGCTTCCTCTCACGTATTTATACATGGCTCTCATCATATCTCCTCTCAGCCTTCTCTTCTTCAGGCTAAACATGCCCAGCTCCTTAAGCCAAGGACGGGAGCTCCTTAAGGCATGACATAAACAATACTCCTCACATGGAAGAGGTCAACATGGAAGGATTGCACGGACAACATGTGGCGCTTTGGCACGCCAATGACAGAATGTCCGTGAGAAGTTGCACACTCTGTGTGTGTGTGTCCCCTCCAAATGTGCTGGGGTCAGAGAGCGGGGGGCTTATTTGGCCTCCGGAAAAGCCAGCAGATCCCCTCGAAGAGGAGACCTCGAGGGCCAGGTCTCCTGCGTTGATGCCCCACTCATCTGGGGGAGGAGGCAATTCTCTTATTTATTTATTTACTATATACCAGTGGTTCTCAACCTTTCTAATGCCGTGACCCCTTGGTATAGTTCCTCATGTTGTGATGACCCCCAACCATAACATTATTCTCATTGCTACTTCATGCTGTATAACTAATTTTGCTCCTGTTCTGAATTGCAATGTAAATATCTGATATTCAGGATGTATTTTCATTCACGGGACCAAATTTGGCACAAATACCCATTATGCCCATCCCCATCAGCATCCAAATTTGGACATATTGAGTATTTGTGCCAAATTTGGATACTGATGGGGATGGGGGGGGGGGGATTGATTTTGTCCTTTGGGAGTTGTAGTTGCTGGGGTTTATAGTTAACCTACAATCAAAGAGCAATTCAAACTCCACCAGCAATGGAATTGAACCAAACTTGGCACACAGAACTCCCATGACCAACAGAAAATACTCAAAGGGTTTGGTGGGCATTGACCTTGAGTTTGGGAGTTGTTGTTCACCTACATCCAGAGAGCACTGTGGACTCAAACCATGATGGATTGTTCGCGTCCACAAACTTGGCAAGAATCCTCAACATGCCCAAATGTGAACACTGGTGGAGTTTGGAGAAAAGAGAACTTTATATTTGTGAGTTGTAGTTGCTGGGATATATAGTTTACCTACAATCAAAGAGCATTCCGAACCTCACCAATAGAATTGGACCAAACTTCCCACACAGAACCCACCATGACTAATGGAAAATACTTTCTGATGGTTTTTGGCGACCCCTCTGACAACCCCTCACGACCCCCCCCCCCCCCCCCCCCGGGGTCCCAACCCCCAGGTTGAGAAACACTCCTCTATACCCTGCCTTTCTCACCCCGAAGGGGACTCTTCTCGCAGAGATTGGGCTGTCCATCTATGCCAGGCACGGGCAAACTTCAGCCCTCCCTCCAGGGGTTTTGGACTTCAACTCCCACCATTCCTAGCAGCCTCAGGCCCTTTCCCTTTCCCCCTCGGCCACTTAAGGGGCTGAGAGGAAAAAGCGAGGGGCCTGAGGCTGTGAGGAGTGGTGGAGTTGAAGTCCACAATACCCGGAGGGACAAAGTTTGCCCATGCCTGCTGTAGAGGAAGCTTCCTTGCACTCAGCAGCGGCAACAGAGCCTAACCTTGGTTATGGGCCCAGCACTCAGAATAAGCAGCTGAGGAGGAAAAGGAAAGGGCCCCAGGCTGTGAGGAATGGTGGGAGTCAATCTCCAAAACACCTGGAGGGAGGGCCCAAGTTTGCCATGATCCGTGGAGCCATGGGTTCAAGTTGCGGGAAAAGAGATGTCGTCCCAACACTAGGAAGACTTTCCTGATAGGAAGAGATGTTTGGCAATAGAATCTGGGAGATTGCCGGAGCTTCCTTCCTTTTCTGGAGGCTTCCAAGCAGAGGCCTCTGTCAAGAGGGCTTGGGTGGTGCTTTTCCTGCCTGGCGGAAAGAAAGGGATTAGACTAGATGGCCTTTGGGGGTCCCTTCTGACTGCTGTGGATTCGGAATGGGCCACTGGGGAGCGAGCGAGCGAGCGTGCCTGTTGGGAGTCCTTTGCTGTCGCTGTTGTTTTGGTGTTTTCAACTGGGAGGCCGGGTATGCGCTTAAAGCCTTGCGTACGGAAGGGAGAGGGTTTATCAGTACCTGAAAATGCTATCTTTGTACTTGAGTATTTCTTGCCTCGAATCCTGTGTTTTTAAAAGAGGATCTCTTTTGTACGGCGGTCAACCCTCCTGTTCAAGGAGCTCTACTGGCTGCCATTCATTTTTCGGACCCAATTGAAGGTGCAGGTTCTTACCTACAAAGCCCTGAACGGTTTGGGACACGCCTACCTGCGTGACCACATTTCTGTATACGAACCCACACGATCTCTTCGATCATCTGGAGAGGCCCTGCTTGCACTCCCACCTGCATCGCAAGCGCGATTGGTGGGGATGAGAGAGAGGGCCTTCTTGGTGGTGGCCCCTTGACTCTGGAACTCACTCCCTAAGGACATTAGGCAGGCCCCAACTTTGGCAGTCTTTAAGAGGAGCTTGAAGACGTGGTTGTTCCAGAATTATTTATTTATTTGTCGTGTCAGGGCAACCAGTCAATTATATTACATTTCTAACAGAACAAAGCAAACAGACAGACAAAGTACAAAATTTGTGAGTTTGAATAATGACCCCATAGCACTTTGTCCTCCAAAACACTTCATATTGGTTTTAGGTCTGCTCGTATGTTCCCATAAATTGCCCTATTACCACGTCCAGCATTATTTTTTAATCTTTTAATTTTAATTACCTTTGGCCTACCCATGGATTTTAAAGTGTGTTGTCCTATTGATAATGCTTGTGTTATTGTTTTATTGTTTTGTTGTTTTTAAATTGCTTGTATTGTTATTGTTATTGCTTGTATTGTTGTATTTTGGGTTTGGCCATATTCTAGAGGCATTTCTCCTGACGTTTCGCCTGCATCTATGGCAAGCATCCTCAGAGGTTGTGAGGTCTGTTGGAATTATGGGTTTATATATCTGTGGAATGGCTGGGGTGGGGCAAAGAGCTCTTCTCTGCTGGAGCTGAGTGTGAATGTTTCAACTGACCACCTTCATTAGCATTTGAAGGCCTGGCTGAGCCTGGGAAAATCTTTTGTTGAGAGGTGTTAAGATGCCTGGTTGTTTCCTCTCTGTTGTTTTGCTGTTGTTTTAGAGTTTTTTTAATACTGGTAGCCAGATTTTGTTCATTGTTGGTGACTACACCAACAACCACCATGTCAGACTACACAGAGAAGCCATTGAAATCCACAAGCATGTGGACAATTTCAACAGAAAGGAAGAGACCATGAAAATGAACAAAATCTGGCTACCAGTATTAAAAAACTCTAAAATTACAACAGCAAAACAGCAGAGAGGAAACAACCAGGCACAGCTTAACACTGCTCAACAGGGGATTTTCCCAGGCTCAGCCAGGCCTTCAAATGCTAATGAAGGTGGTCAGTTGAAACATTCACACCTAGCTCCAGCAGAGAAAGAGCTCTTTGCCCCACCCCAGCCATTCCACAGATATATAAACCCATTGTCCTAATTCCAACAGACCTCACTACCTCTGAGGATGCCTGACATAGATGCAGGCGAAACGTCAGGAGAAATGCCTCTAGAACATGGCCCTATAACCCGAAAAAACCCACAAGAACCTAGTGATTCCAGCCATGAAAGCCTTCGACAATACATGTATTGTTATTGTTATTGCTTGTATTGTTGTATTGTGGGCTCGGCCTCATGTAAGCCACACCGAGTCCCCTCGGAAGATGGTAGTGAGGTATAAATAAAGTGTTATTATTATTATTACTCCCAAGAAGGGCGATTTAATAAATACGGGATTAGAAAGGGAGGGGTCTTGGAGGGGCTGGGTCCATTTGTGGAAGTGGGGCCGGGAGGTGGGCTGCCCAGCAGGGCCCTTCTTGTCAGAGCACACGGACCCTTGCCTGGGACCCCCGTAGGAATCCTCACTCCCAGTTCCTGAGAGTGTGAGCTGTTCAGCAGTGGAACTCTCTGCTCCAGGGTATGGTGGAGGATCCTTCTTTGGAGGCTTTGAAGCAGAGACTGGATGGCCATCTGTCGGGGGTGCTCTGAAGGCGATTTGTCTACGCAGATGACACACAACTCTACTACTCATTTCCACCCAATTCCAAGGAGCCCCCTCGGGTGCTGGACGAGTGCCTGGCCGCTGTGTCTATCTGGATGAGGAAGAACAAGCTGAAGATCAATCCCGACAAGACAGAGGTCCTCCTGGTCGATCGTAAACCTGACCGGGGTATAGGGTGGCAACCTGTGCTGGACGGGGTTACACTCCCCCTGAAACCACAGGTCCGCAGTTTAGGAGTCCTCCTTGATTCATCGCTCATGTTTGAGGCTCAGGCGTCGGTGGTGTCGGTGAGGGCTTTCGCACAACTAAGACTCGTGCGCCAACTGCGACCGTACCTCGTGAAGGCTGATCTGGCCGGGGTGGTCCATGCCTTGGTCACCTCTAGGTTGGATTACTGTAATGCGCTCTACGTGGGGCTGCCCTTGAAAACGGCTCAGAAATTCCAACTTGTCCAACGAGCAGCGGCCAGGATGTTAACGGGGGCTCATTACAGAGAGAGGTCAACCCTCCTGTTTAAGGAGCTCCACTGGCTGCCTGTTGTGGTTCAGCAGCAACAGCATGATGGGACTGAGAGTGCAGATGAGCATGATGGGAATGGGAATACAGATGCAGGTGTGGGATTTCAGTTTTCTCAGTCACAGTCTGTAGCTAGAGAGAAACCACTTTTCTCACAGGAACGGAATGTGGCTGATAAGACAGCTGGTGAAGGTCAGGCTGTTCCGCAGGTGTTAAGAAGGAGTTTACGAATTGCGGCCAAGTCTTGAGCCCATCCGTTGGTGGGAAAACTGCTTGTTAGCTGTCTGTTTAATGTTCAATGTTTTGATGTTTTACCTATAAGTAAACTGCCTGGGAGTTGATTCGGCGTCAGTTCCAATGTTGCAAAAATGGCTCGCTTTGTCTCCGGCTCTGGGGCTTGGGCCTTGGGGAAAGCCTGCTTCATGTAACCTCATGCTATTTCCTGGATTTTAATTCTGCTTCTTTGCTTCAAGTTTCCTGCTTTGACTCCAAGGGAATTTATTGGACTTCTACCTTGTACTACTGAACTTTTTACTGCTTATACTCTGATTTGTTTGAAAACCTCACAATAAACTTCTTTCTTCACAAGTTTGGCTGGTTTGTCAGAGAGAGCAAGGTGAATCTTAGCCTGAGATACAACACTGCCGTTTATCTTCCGAGCCCAATTTAAGGTGCAGGTGCTTACCTACAAAGCCCTGAACGGTTTGGGACCAGCCTACCTGCGTGACCGCATCTCCATCTACGAACCCACACGCTCACTACGTTCATCTGGAGAGGCCCTGTTCGTGATCCCGCTGGCGTCGCAAGCACGTTTGGTGGGGACACGAGACAGGGCCTTTTCCGTGGTGGCCCCCCAAAGATCTTAGTCAGGCCCCTACACTGGCAGTCTTCAGAAAGAACTTGAAGACCTGGCTGTTCCGATGTGCCTTTCCCGATTAGGAAACCTCCAATACCAAGTCCCAGACGCACTTTATCAGAATTAAGACTGCCGCGCACTGCACATTGCACTTGCCTATAATCCTTACATATCACCTGTCACATCAGCACTTTTAATCCTGTACCCTTTACTCTGGCCCGGCCCAGTTTTGTCTTGTTTGATGTATTGTTTATTGCTTGTGGTTCTTGTTGTTTTAATACTGCTTTGATTGTTTTTAATTTGCTTTAAGTGTATTGCATGTTGTGTGTTGAGGCCTTGGCCTTTGTAAGCCGCATCGAGTCCTTCGGGAGATGCTAGCGGGGTACAAATAAAGTTTAATAATAATAATAATAATAATAATAATAATTTGAAGGGGTTGGAGTGGATGGCCCACCAGGTCTCGTCCAACTCTAGCATCTTGTGATCCTTCCTTCTCTCCACTTTGAGTCTCCTTTGTGGAGAGAGAAAAAGCGGTGCCTGCATGAACCGGATACCGATTCTCTTTCTTTCGTGTTTTCCTTTGGCAGAAGTTCCGCTCGCAGGAGGAGGAGAGCGCCCCTTCCCTGGCGCCCAGCAGCTCCTCCCCGCACCCGGCCCCCAGCGAAGGCACGGCCGCTCCGGAGCTGGTCCAGGTGTCCGAGAAGAGCCTCTCGCAGGTGGAGAACATCCACGGACTCGTCTCCCACGCGCACATCTCCCCCATCAAGGTAGGCGCCTCCGGGCCGCTCCGCACAGGCTCTGGGGGTGAGTGGGTGTGGGTGTGAACGCGCTCCTTTCCATCCGGATGCTCCAAATTATGGCCGTCGCCTGACTGAATATCAACAAGGACAAATGTAGCACTGAGGCAGAAAAGAATCGTTGGGTGAGTGGGCTTATTGACAAAAGACCCTCCTCAAAAATGTGCAGCAGAGCAGCTCGTTCGCAGTAGCGTGACCCCACGCCAGTTGCCCAAAGAACCAAAGCACACCGGATCAAAGTTCTCTCTTCCTTCGGAGGCTTTTCTTTGTAATGAAATAATAATACGGTTGCACTATTTACAATCACAACGTTTCCAGAACACAAGTAAACAAATACTTAGAGGCTTTACACGCAGCAGCCTTCGCACTAGAGTTCCCTCACAGGGCTTCTCTTACACAGAAGTTTACCTCACACTGACTGAGGAGTTCCCTCACGGAGGCAAACTTACTCTTAACAGGCTTCGGCCTACTCACTCTCCTCAGGGCGACACGAGCTTTGGTCCACTAACACTAACAGGCTTCGGCCTACTCATTCTCCTCAGGGCGTCACTAACTTTGGCCCACTAACAGGCTTCGGCCTACTCATTCTCCTCAGGGCGTCACTAACTTTGGCCCACTAACAGGCTTCGGCCTACACATTCTCCTCAGGACGACACTAGCTTTGGCCCACTAACAGGCTTCAGCCTACTCACTCTCCTCAGGACGACACTAGCTTTGGCCCGCTTACTCCTAACAGGCTTCGGCCTACACACTCTCCTCAGGGCATCACTAGCTTTGGCCCACTAACTCTAACAGGCTTCGGCCTACTCATTCTCCTCAGGGCGTCACTAGCTTTGGCCCACTAACAGGCTTCGGCCTACACATTCTCCTCAGAAGGACACTAGCTTTGGGCCACTAACACTGACAGGCTTCAGCCTACTCACTATCCTCAGGGCATCACTAACTTTGGTCCACTAACAGGCTTCGGCCTACTCATTCTCCTCAGGACGACATTAGCTTTGCCCCATTTACTCTTAACAGGCTTCAGCCTATTCATTCTCCTCAGGACGACACTAGCTTTGGCCCACTTACTCTTAACAGGCTTCGGCCTACTCATTCCCCTCAGAACAACACTAGCTTTGCCCACTAACTCTAACAGGCTTTGGCCTACTCATTCTCCTCAGGACGACAATAGCTTTGGCCCACTAACTCTTAACAGGCTTTGGCCTACTAATTCTCAGAACAACACTAGCTTTGGCCCACTAACTCTTAACAGGCTTCGGCCTACTCACTCTCCTCAGAGCGACACAAGCTTTGGCCCACTAGCACTAACAGGCTTCGGCCTACTCACTCTCCTCAGGGTGTCACTAGCTTTGGCCCACTAACACTAATAGGCTTCGGCCTACTCACTCTCCTCAGAGCGACACAAGCTTTGGCCCACTAGCACTAACAGGCTTCGGCCTACTCACTCTCCTCAGAGCGACACAAGCTTTGGCCCACTAGCACTAACAGGCTTCGGCCTACTCACTCTCCTCAGGGCGTCACTAGCTTTGGCCCACTAACACGAACAGGCTTCGGCCTACTCACTCTCCTCAGGGTGTCACTAGCTTTGGTCCACTAACTCTAACAGGCTTCGGCATACTCACTCTCCTCAGGGCGACACTAGCTTTGGCCCACTAACACTAATAGGCTTCAGCCTACTCATTCTCCTCAGGACGACACTAGCTTTGGCCCATTTACTCTCAGCTGGCTTCGGCCTACTCATTCTTCTCAGGGCGACACTAGCTTTGGCCCACTAACAGGCTTTGGCCTACTCACTCTCCTCAGGGCGACACTAGCTTTGGCCACTAACAGGCTTTGACCTACTCATTCTCCTCAGGATGACACTAGCTTTGGCCCACTAACTCTAACAGGCTTCGGCCTACTCACTCTCCTCAGGACGACGCTAGCTTTGGCCCATTTACTCTCAGCTGGCTTCAGTGTACTCATTCTCCTCAGGACAACACTAGCTTTGCCCCATTTACTCTTAACAGGCTTTGGCCTACTCATTCTCCTCAGGACCACACTAGCTTTGGCCCACTAACTCTTAACAGGCTTCGGCCTACTCACTCTCCTCAGGGTGACACTAGCTTTGGCCCACTAACTCTTAACAGGCTTCGGCCTACTCATTCTCCTCAGGATGACACTAGCTTTGGCCCGCTTACTCTTAACAGGCTTTGGCTTACTCATTCTCAGGACGACACTAGCTTTGGCTCACTAACTCTAACAGGCTTCGGTCTACTCACTCTCCTCAGGACGACACTAGCTTTGGTCCACTTACTCTTAACAGGCTTCGGCCTACTCATTCTCCTCAGGGCAACACTAACTTTGGCCCACTTACTCTTAACAGGCTTCGGCCTATTCATTCTCCTCAGAGCGACACTAGCTTTGGCTCACTAACTCTAACAGGCTTTGGCCTACTCATTCTCCTCAGGGCGACACTAACTTTGGCCCACTTACTCTTAACAGGCTTTGGCCTACTTATTCTCCTCAGGACGACACTAGCTTTGGCCCATTTACTCTTAACAGGCTTTGGCCTACTCACTCTCCTTGGGATAACACTAGCTTTGGTCCACTGACTCTAACAGGCTTCGGCCTACTCACTCTTTCAATGCTTGATTCACACTTTGGTAATCACTAATACCCAGTTAATATTTAATATTTCTGACAAAAATGAAATGCAAAGACACAGGGTGGGTGGCGCCTGGCTCGACAACAATCCATGCAAGAAAGATCTTGCATAGGTCTGGAGACCATGAATAATCCCCCTGAGGAGCGTCTTAAAGAGGTGGGCATGTTCAGCCGGCAGAAGAGAATGTTGAGAGGAGACAGGAGAGGAGCCACGTATGAATACATGAAGGGATTGTTGGGTGAGTGGGCTTAAGACCCTCCCCAGGAATGTATAGCAGAGTCTCAGCAGCGTGACCCAGCGCCAGGAGCCCAAAGTGATAAACAGAACCAAAACACACAGGTCAATGTGATCTCTTCCTGAGGAGGCTTTTCTTTCCAGTAAAATAATATGGTTGCACTATTTACAGCAACAAGGTTTCCATAACACAAATAAACAAATACACAGTCGCTTTACACGCAGCAGCCTTCACACTGGAGCTTTCTCACAGGAGGCTTCTCTCACACAGAGGTTTACCTCACACCCCTCAGAACGACACTAGTTTTGGCCCACTGAGCCTAAGAGGCTTCGGCCTACTCGGTATTTATGTGCTTGTAAGCAAAAAATATCCAGTTGATTTTTAATTCTTCTGACAAAGATGTCCTAAGGAAGAGGGAGGGAGCTTCCTTTCTGCTGCCTTGGAGACTAGGACTCAATGGAGGCATAGGCTCAAATGGCAGGAAAGGAGATTCCACCTGAACATTAGAAATAACTTCCTGACTGTAACAAGAGCTGTTCAACGATGGAACTCTCTGCCTCGGAGTGTGGTGGAAGCTCCTTCCTTGGAGGTTTTTAAACACAGGCTGGACGGCCATCTGCCAGGGGTGCTTTGATTGTGCTTTCCATGCATGGCAGAAATAGGAGTTGGACTAGCTGGCCCATGAGGTCTCTTCCAACTCTGTGATTCTACAGTATGACTTTCTCGGGCTCCTTGCTGGTGGGCCACTTGAAGGCTGAAGGAGCAGCTCTGCTCCATTGCCCTATCATGCAAGCATGGGCCAACTTTGGCCCTCCAGCCTTAGAATCCTAGAAGAGTTGGAGGAGACCTCCTGGGCCATCATCCAGTCCAACCCCATTCTGCCAAGAAGCAGGAATATTGCATTCAAAGCACCCCTGACAGATGGCCACCCAGCCTCTGCTTCAAAGCTTACAAAGAAGGAGCCTCCACCACATTCCCTCTGGGGCAGAGAGTTCCACTGCTGAACGGCTCTCACAGTCAGGAAGTTCTTCCTCATGCTCAGATGGAATCTCCTTTCTTGGAGTTTGAAGCCATTGTTCCATTGCGTCCTAGTCTCTCTCCAGGGAAGCAGAAAGGAAGCTTGCTCCCTCCTCCTCCTCCCTGTGGCTCCCTCTCACATATTTATTATACATGGCCCTCATCATATCTCCTCTCAGCCTTCTCTTCTTCAGGCTAAACATGCCCAGCTCCTTAAGCCGCTCTTCATAGGGCTTGTTCTCCAGACCCTTGATCATTTGTGTCGCCCTCCTTTGCGCTGTTAGGAATGTAAACAGCTCCGAATCCCCGTTGGGGGAGATGGTGGCGGGCGGGGTATAAATAAAGTTTATTATTATTATAATTAATTGTGGGAGTTGAAGTCGGGAACACCTGGAGGAGGGCCAGAGATGGCTCATACCTTCCCTCATGCACACCTGCTGCTTGGGAGGCCCAGGGGGAGGAGTCTGCCAAGAAGGAAGGTGGGGCCTCAGGTAGTGCACCTTTCTGCACACCGCAGGCTGGCTCCTCTCATGCACTGGTTTTGGCAGGCTGGGGGCGGGGCGGTGTTCCTGAAAGAGGAGGGCTGGGAGCAGAGCAGGCTTGGCCCAGGTAGCCCCCCCCCCCCAACTAGAGAGAGGCAATGCCAGCCGCAGAGTCCCCCTTGTATTAGGTGTGCACTTTGTTCAGGCGTTAATTAAAGGTGCAACTCCGGATCTGGCCGGAGTGGTCCATGCCTTGGTCACCTCCAGATTGGATTACTGCAATGTGCTCTACGTGGGGCTGCCCTTGAAGACTGCTCGGAAGCTCCAACTGGTCCAACGATCAGCAGCCAGGATGCTAACTGGGGCCCCTTACAGAGAGAGGTCAACCCTCCTGTTTAAGGAGCTCCACTGGCTGCCATTTATTTTCTGAGCCCAATTCAAGGTGCAGGTGCTTACCTACAAAGCCCTGAACGGTTTGGGACCAGCCTACCTGCGTGACCGCATTTCCATCTACGAACCCACGCGTTCTCTTCAGTCATCTGGAGAGGCCCTGCTCGTGATCCCACCGGCCTCGCAAGCGCGCTTG